GGTAATGGGGACTCCCCTACACCACCACCTGTGTGTAGCATCCACCTGGATGGTACTGTCACCTTGGTAAAACTGATTCACCCATATAATTATTATTATATATATTATTTTTAAATAGATTAAACTATGAATAACAGCATGAAAAGATACAAAAGCAACATGTTCATAGCTGGATTCCACCAGTGGCATTTTCAAAAAGTCTGCTGTAAGTTGTAGATTGTTATCTGTTTTCATTACAGTACAGTACATCTGAAAAGATACAAAATATTGTGTGCTACGGTTCTTTTGTTTATTTCTCTGCAATACAATTTACTTGAATGAGAATATTACAATGTATTAAATACTAATAAACAGTACAACAGGTGTTTCCCAGCAAAATTATTCTAACTCTTTTTATACCTTACTGCCAACAATCTCTACGGACTTGTCAAGACATTCACTTACATAGGTTATGACAGGAAACGTATGCCCAAATTTTAAGCTAAACCAGTAAACTTCTAGGGTTTTACACTACATTTCCTCATTTTTAATAATGATTATTTACTGAAATAATGTCAGCATCAATTGCTTTGTACCCAGAGTACAAAGATTACAATCAGGAAAACTGTGCAATGTACTGTACCTCAACAATTCAGAAGAATTCTGATTAAATTAAAGAGTAGCATAATTGCTTAGGTTCTAGTTAAGGTGGCCATCAAAGCGTCAACTCTTATCTTTCAATTAAGTGGATTTACTATGGTGAAGGCAAAGGTTGGTCGTCTCTGGAAAGAAAAAAAATTAGAGCTTCAGGACCTAAATTCCGACTGATTCTGTTAAAGTCAAAATCATCATTTTGTAGAAGGCATAAAGAAACAATATACAGTATATTATAATGAATATTGTTTTTTTTTCTTTTCATGGTGATGTAGCGCAATTACTGTAAAAGTTGCAAAAGAAGGACTATAATAGATTCTATTTTGTTCCCAGGGAATTTCTTTAACTCAGAATGAATCAGTTTTTTATCTTGCCAAATTTTTTTTAAATAACACAAGATACGATTAAATCCAGTACACTGACAAGATGAATACAATACAAGATTGTTTATCAGACCACTGGAGTGGATTGGTATTTTAAGCAGACATCTAATAATAAATGTTGTAGGTTATGGTGACATCTTGGATATGTCCTTCACCTTCATTTCTTCTGTCAAGAAATAAAAGACTGGTTTAGCGATGGTTGAAATTCAAAACAAACCATATATCCAAATCAGGATGAGCAAAAAATGTCTGTAAAACCAGCAGCAAATTCTATTTAAGCAGAATCAGAATCCTGTCTGTACAAAGTAAATACCTTATTACTATGGACCTGTTATTATGAAAATTACTGGCAATCTGAAAACTGTACTCTTGTGCTACTGTATATAAGGTATCTGTTATCTTTTGTTCTGCACAAGAACAGATACACCCTACCACTGCGAGAGGAAAAAAACCTATGTTGATTAATATTAGTACAAATCATACTTACAGCAGGCTTCAGTTATCCATATAAACCACAGTGTTTTTAAAGATGTAGGATGAATGAAAACCATGGTTGAGTACTATTCCTCACCTTGGAGAGAGAGAGGGATACACAGCCTCACTGACAGCCTTTGTGGAAGTGAAGGTCTACCAGAAGTTACTAATAGAAAAATCGTAGTAAATGTAGATTTTTATGGGAAACAGGACTATTACAGATTAGAGAAGATGTTATTTTCATTCCATAAGACTGAAACAGTTATAAATGGAATATAATTTGAGGTTTTGATGCTTCAGTGTTGGAACAAGATCAACACTTGTCAGTTATACCAAAAATAGACTACAGCTCTAATGCGGGTATCCATGTTTTCTTAAGTGTGAGTGCAAGGAGAACTTCAATGTAATACTTGACAAAGTATGATTTGAAAGTAACTCAAATAGTAACTCAAATTTGAAAGTAACTCAAATACTTTAATCACTGAGAGAAGCAATAACATTTTTTGCTGAGGGGATTACAAACTGCTTTGTAACTACATGTCTCTTCAACCCAATATTTCTGGTGCATGTTAATTCAAATTGTATGTAATCATGAAAACTTTATACCACATTTTATGATTTATGCCATGTTCCTAGACTCAGAGAAAGAGAATTGTTACTGGTGGGCAGTGTAGGAATTGAATGCGTTCTGTCACTCAGCAAAAACATTCTACCTTGAAATCACGTAATCTAGATTTAGCATTCAAAGTATATGAATAATGATCAGATGTTTCCCTCTGGAGGATACTTATATTTAAAAATAATTAAAAGCTTTGACTCTGTAGTTAATTAGACAACAGTGCTGACAAGTTATAGGAAGTTAAAATATAATAGTGATGGATTATTCATTAAATCACTTTAATAGCTGAATGCTTTGCATATTAATTTTTTTTCTTTCCATATTAATTATGGTTTGAAAAAAAAAA